ACACACACACACACACACACACACACACACACACACACACACAGAGTCTGGACCCTGAGAGGATGTGTCTGATGCCTCACAGACTCTTTTCATCATAAATGTGTTTTATGTTGATGTTATGGTTGTGATTAGAAATCAGAGCTGCACAAACTGAACCACTAAAGCTAAAAAACTAAATAAGAGCTAAAAGTAGCCAAATGTTAAATGATCACAGAATCTTTAATGACATGTTTCAAGGGTTTTGTTTTAAATAAAGTTTTTTCTATCTGTCTGGTTTTAGCCTCTCTGACCTGGTTTGGTTCTGTCCCACCTGGACTTCGGTCAGTTAGCAGGTTCAGCTACAGTTTGTCACCCTGCCTTCCTGTTCAAATGACAGTTTTACTGTTGACCCGTAGAGTTCTGAATGGAGTGGTTCCTCCAGCCTTTTACAAGCTGCAGGTCAGTAAAATGTTTTTTTTTATCTTTGTTTGTCTGCAGCTCTTTAACTCTGTTTTCTTCTCTTTACTTTGAGTTTTTGTGCTTTTATCTTTATCTCGTAGGGTGGCCCTGTGGCTCAGCTGGAGTCGATGCCTTTCAGCAAAATGTTTGTCTCAACTCCAGGCCTGGGGACCTTTCTGAGTAGAGTTTGCATGTTCTCTCTGTGCAGCTGTGGGTTTTCTCCAGGTTTCCACTCTGGTTTCCTCCCACAGACCAAAAACAAACCAAACAATGTGAGGCAGAATTCTGAGTCACTAAAGAATCAAATCTGTGGGAGGAGACCAGAGAAGACCCACCTGTGCAGGGGTAGAACAGGTGAGCTCTACAGACAGACTGAGAAGAAACTGCTGCTCGTGTTTTTATCTTTATCAGTTTCAGTTTCTCAGTAAATGTCAGAGGTTGTTCATGATCAGACTGAGCAGGAATAGTTTTTTTAGTTTAGGCCAGAGGTGCCCAAACATTTTCTCTGAAAGGGCCAAAATTAAAATCAATCTGAGGGTGGTAGGCCAAATGCAATAATATAATACACAAAATGCAAATGTTTCAAGGAAAGTTGTATTTTTTATGATTAAACAGTTGTTTTTTCAAGGTATAACTTTGCAAAATTCATTTTTAATAGAAAAACGTTACAAGTAAACAAATAAAAAATGTTAATAATATGGGTTTAGCTCCAATATCAGTACTTGTAACTGCATTTTATTTAACCTCTCATTGCAACAAAAAGGCTCTTCAGCTGAGTTCTTTCATTTACATTCTTTTGTCTGTGATAAAGTTCCAAACTCTGTCATAAAAAATAACCTTCTCCATCTTTGTTTTTCTTTTTAATTTGTTGACGGCACTTTAAAATCTGGGATACCATCGACCGCTTTGGATACTCCGATGAAGATGACATTGTTGGGGTTCTGTCGGCTGCATGAGTCAACGATTGGGACAGCCTATGGGGCAGTGTTGTAAGCGGCTGACAAATGTGGCCGATGTTGACTGTAACCTTTTGAGACAGACTCAATAGAATCCTCATCTGCTTTCAGGTCTCACAACCACTGGGACAGAGTTCTGACAAGATGCCCCTGTTCTGACATAATATCTTCATGGCTGGGGAAAGCTTTGACAGAAACTATCACACACCATTTACTGGAGGGGTCATCTGAGACCCAACAGCAGGAAAAAATGTCTTAATGAGGAGGAGTTGAAGGTAAGAAGAGACTCAAACCTGTTTCCTGGAGGACGCTGCAGTCTTTGGCCGACCCTGACGACCAGTCCTCCCAGCCTCCGAGGAGTCCCGGCAGCTCCTTCGCAGTGTGGTAGCATCAGGGTGGGGGGGCAGTGGGCTGCAGGGACACAGACATGAAGTAGAGGACTGGTGCTATCATTACCTGAGGTAGAGGACTGGTGCTATTTTTACCTGAGGTAGAGAACTGGTACTATCATTACCTGAGGTAGAGAAATGGTACTGACTGGACTGGTACTATACCTGAGGTAGAGGACTGGTACTATCATTACCTGAGGTAGAGGACTGGTACTAACTGGACTGGTACTATACCTGAGGTAGAGGACTGGTACTATCATTACCTAAGGTAGAGGACTGGTACTAACTGGACTGGTACTATACCTGAGGTAGAGGACTGGTACTATCATTACCTGAGATAGAGGACTGGTGCTATCATTACCTGAGGTACAGGACTGGTGCTATTGTTATCTGAGGTAGAGGACTGGTACTAACTGGACTGGTACTATACCTGAGGTAGAGGACTGGTACTAATTGGACTGGTACTATACCTGAGGTAGAGGACTGGTACTAACTGGACTGGTACTATACCTAAGGTAGAGGACTGGTACTAACTGGACTGGTACTATACCTGAGGTAGAGGACTGGTGCTATCATTACCTGAGGTAGAGGACTGGTGCTATCGTTACCTGAGGTAGAGAACTGGTACTAACTGGACTGGTACTATACCTGAGGTAGAGGACTGGTACTGACTGGACTGGTACTATACCTGAGGTAGAGGACTCGTGCTATCAGGGCATACAGCACGATGGCAAGGAGCAGCGGTATGACGTAGAAGATAGTGAAGTCGATGAGGTAGATGGGCAGGTATAGGTCCCGCTTCACCTTGTATCCACACTGCACATGTCCGTCTGGACCCACCTGGAAACATGATAGAGCTGTAATCAACCAGGTTGTAATGATGAGTCACATCTCAGCATAATAACACCACTCAGCTCTGAAACAACCTGCAATTTAAAGAACATTTCAACCATTTAGGTCCTGGAATCCATAAATGTTTCACTCGTCTGCTGGTGATTCCTAATAACTGTGCAAAAGACCCGGTGATTCATCCACAAGAAAATATACTATTATTCTCTGGAATAAATTAAATCAGACCTCAAACTCTGGATTTTCTCTGTAGTAACATAAACAATACTCTTTATTTGCACATTCATTAAAAACATTTTCTTATCTAAAAGTCAAAAATCAAACTGAACAAAAGAACAGAAAATATGTTTTTTTCTTGTCTCAGATTTTTAAATCTGTAAATGTAAAGTTACTTATCAGTCTGTATAATTAATACTCATCTAGGATATTCTGAAGCTTCAGATTGTTTTCTGACTGTAGTAAAGTGTTTAAATCATTTTTATTAAACAGTTCAGGCTTCAGATGAAAGCTGTCAGAGGATCGTTTCAGTCTGCATCAATATTTTACTTTTTATTGCTCTGATGGGAGCTGAAAAACACTTTGGAAGTAAATAAATATTAAATCAGTTTATTATTTAGACGAGCTGGAAGCTGCTGAGAAACGTCTTTTCTTTCTGTTTCTTGTTGATTTGTGATAAATGGTTCTGTGCCAAACACCTGAGTCCCAAACCTGGACGAGAACAGTCCCTGACTGGACAGGTGCTGCTACAACTAGGCCAATCAAATCAATCCCATACACTGCCATGATTGACAGGAGGAGCTGCTCGATCAATTCAGAACCAGTTAAGAGAAATGTTTCAGTGCATATAGAAGATTTATTACCATGCAGCCATTATTCTGTTGTAAAAAACACGAATATAAAACCATCAAACCTGTGGTTCCAGCAGAAACAATGAGCTCAGAACTATTAGTCAGAGTTTAACCTTTTCATAACTGAATTGCTGTTTTCACATCTTTAACACTTTTTACACAAATCATTAAATGTTTCTCTAACCTATTCCATTTTACATAAGAAGGACGTAAAAATTATCCACTAGGTTCTCCTTTTTAGATTGACACCATTTTTGACTGGGTTGCTCTAAGTCTTCACTGCAGCCAGTTTTGTTGAGGAAGGTCCATATGACCCGCCCACAGATTGCATCATGATGGACTGTAGAATCGGCCAATCAACTCTAAGCTTCATTCTGACACCACAGCTGTGAAGCCAGTCGTTACCTTTTGTTTCATATGCAGCTTTGGGGGAAGTCAAAAACATTAAGTTTTTGCTGCTGGTGGTTTTAAATGCTATGTAGATGTAACACTTTGAGAGAAAGTGAGGATTTATTACTTTTTTGTCGTGTTTTGGTTGTTTATTGGTGTGGATTTGCTGCATGTCCCCCATCTGTGATTCATATTGCTGATTATTATTATGTTTTTTGCATAAATATGAATGGTAGAGTATGATTTTTGGGGGTTTATCTTTCATTTTATCCTCCAGTGAAGTGTGTTGAGATATTTAGAAATGAGAGTATTTGAAAAATTTGTCCAGTTTGGACATATTTGGACACGTGTCTAAGCATGAAATTGGACATGCTGGATTATATTATGTCTATGTTGTCTGAATTTTCCAACAAACTCTTTCACAATCTTTACACGTCTTCTACTGTTTAAACGTCAAAACATAACAACAGGAAGTCCTGCTGGGATTTAAGAAAGAAAACTGATGCTTGTTGGAGTTTCAGGCAGCAGCTGCATTGATCCACTGCTGCAGAATTATTGTTGTTAACTTCCTAAAATATCATCTTTGTTTTATTGTCTCTGTCTTGATTTTGCTCCTGTCCTGTTTGATGCTTTTATTGGAGCAGTTTTTGTGGTTAAACTTGGTGAAAAGATGAAATAATGCCGGTGTTCTCTGACCTGGATGTCCACCAGGAAGAACCACAGCATGCAGTAGACGCAGGTGAAGATCCAGACCCCGGTGATGATCCGTTTGGCCCGGGACACGGTGCACACAGTCTGGGCCTTGATGGGATGGCAGATAGCGATGTACCTGGAAGAACCGAAAAAAGCCCTGAGCTGTTTTTATCTCCTCGCTGTGAGAAAAACGCCTTCATCATTCAGACACAGGAAACTGAAAATATTCAGAGCTCAGCTTATTCTGAGGACTTTTTTAATCCTTTTAGCTCCAGCAACAATGAGAGCAGGAACGTCCGATTTAGTCAGGTTTTACATTTTTCATATAAGGTCCCAGAACAAAAGGAGAACCCAAATGGGTTTTTAAAACAAGCTGTAGATTCTCCTGCTTAAAACACGTTAAAGACCTTAAACCAGCATCGGAACAAAGACCTTTGGGTCTCTAATGGTCTCCACAGGCCTGAGTCCAGTCAGAACTTTTGGATCTCTAATGGTCTCCACAGACCTGAATCCAGTCAGAACCTTTGGGTTTCTAACGGTCTCCACAGACCTGAATCCAGTCAGAACCTTTGGGTCTCTAACAGTCTCCACAGACCTGAATCCAGTCAGAACCTTTGAGATGTGGTGGGACAGGAGGTTCTGCAGCACATGTGTGTGGCTGACATGGTGATATGGACCAGAACCTCTGAGGAATATTTCTGACACTTTGTTGAATCTGTGACATGAAGAACTGAATCAGTTCTGAAGGCAGCACAGGGTACAACCTGGGACCAATAAAGTGGACCTAATAAAGTTCTGATGAAGGTGTTCAGAACAGAAACCATCTGACCCAGAATGTGTAAACACAGCTCATAAATCAGAGTTATTAAAAACTGGTCCAGGTCTGTCACTTTTCTTTAGTTATGTTGCATCTCAGTAACCCAGGTAGAACAAATCAAAAAGAAAAAATCAGTAGGTCCTCTGGATGATTCTTCTTTAATGAAACGTTTCGTCTCTCCTCCAAGAGACTTCTTCAGTCTGAGAGTTTCAGGTGAACTCAGCCTTATAAGCTCCGCCTCCACATGGTGGACAAACAGGTTAGTTACATGCAAAAGAGGACCATCGCCTAACAATATGCTTGATTAGCTCTACTGTTCATAGAGGGTCACGTGCCCCATCACCTGGCATTGGTTTGGATGCTGTGGTTATTTGGTGTTTTGTTATCTGTATTTAGTGAATGCAAGCGGGGTTCAACGTCCCCTTGATTTTGTCTCTCTTTCCCTCTTTGTGTTGGTATCGTTGGGACCCTGATTCACACCTTTTGCTCGCAGGGGGCGGAGTCATACTTGCAATAACAGCGTTGTAGGAGGAGGACAACTGGACATGAAGGCCTCCACCTCTGTTTAATGGTAGACTTTTTTTTCACAAAAATGGCTTCCTTTACTCCTCTCTCAAACCAGCGTTCCTCTCTATCAAGGATGAGAACATCTTCATCCCTGAAAGAGTGACCACTGGCCTGTAAATGACTGTAAACTGCAGAGTCCTGGCCTGTAGATGAGTGTAAACTGCAGAGTCCTGACCTGTAGATGAGTGTAAACTGCAGAGTCCTGGCCTGTAGACGAGTGTAAACTGCAGAGTCCTGGCCTGATGATGTAGCTCGTCTGTGCTGGCTCGTTCTTTTCAACAGTGGCTGTTTTTTTTCTCCAATGTATGACTGATCACTGTCCTCCTGACACTTAACAGCATACACTATATTGCTCTGTTTTTGCCGGGGAACTGGATCTTTGGGTTCTGGATCTCCCCAAAGATTGGATTGGATTGGATTGGATTTGGATCCTGGGCGGTTCTGTTGAACCGTGTATTAATCTGCTTTAGTTGTTAAAGAGAGGATTTGGACATTTGTGAAGTGAACCTATTAATAAATAAACTCATATCTGATGAAGTGGTGCCTCTGATGGTTCTGTTCAGAACTCGACCTTCGTCTGAGAACTCTCTTCAGCTCTCAGCATCAGTGAGTGTTTCATTAGCAGAACAAAGTAAATGTCACGGCTCACCTCTCCACGGTGAAGGCAGTGATGGAGCACGAGGACACGTTGATGCCCAGGTACTGCAGGTAGGTGATCCCCAGACACCCGGCGTGTCCATAGATCCAGGTCCCCGTCAGGCTGTCGGACACGTTGGGAAGGCCCGCCGCCACCAGGACTGTCAGGTCGGCGAAGGCCAGGCTCACCAGGTAACAGTTGGTGGGCGTCCTCATGTGGCGCGTGGTGAAGACCACCAGGACCACCATGATGTTTCCCACGATGCCGACGCCGCACACCAGCAGGACCAGGAACACCGACACCGTTTTGTACTCCAGAGAGTCGGAAATGACCGCGCTCAGGGAGATGTTGGTCGGGGTGTCGATCCTGGAGCTCAGGTTGTTGGTCATGGTGCCGTTGGTCAGAGGGTCAGTCCATCAGAGGGTCCGTCCATTAGAGGGTCCGTCCATCAGAGGGTTCATCCATCACAGGGTCCGCCGATCAAAGGGTTAGTCCATCAGAGGGTCAGTCTATCAGAGGGTCCATCCATCAGAGGGTCCATCCATCAGAAGGTCCGTCCATCAGAGCGTACGTCCATCAGAGGGTCCGTCCATCATAGGAACGCCACCACACCTCACTCACACAGTTTCCACTCATTTCACAACAGACAGCAGTTAAATGTTCAACATGGACCAGAGTTTCAGCAGCTGAGGATCTGCTCCTTCTGTCAGTCCCTCAGGTTCTTTATGGATTCATTCCAGGAGGTCCAAACACAGGGCAGAACCAGATCCAGACAGAGGGTCCTGAAAACAAACAAACCAAGTTAATTTAACAAAGAAACAAATGTTGATCTGAGGTTTCTATCATTTGAAGCTAAACATGATCAAATCTAAATAAATACAACCATGAGTCAGATAATCAGTCTGAACTGTTTCAGATAATGACTCTAAACTTCTTCACTGAGTTCTAATCATTCATGAGATTCTTCAGCCTCCAGGAGGAGGAAAATATTCCACATCTTTAATTCTTCTGGGAGAAGCTCTAATGGATGCAGGACGATCGGAGGAGAATCAGCTCATTCATATTTACACAAGAAGCTTCCTAATGGAGTTCAGGCAGTGGACTGATATATGTTCCTGCAGGATCAACACAACTCTGCAGGACAGAACCTGACAGAACCTCCTCTGACAGAACAGAACCTCCTCTGACAGAACAGAACCTCCTCTGACAGAACAGAACCTCCTCTGACAGAACAGAATCTCCTCTGACTGAACAGAACCTCCTCTACCCGCAGCTAAAGGTGTGTGGAAAAACATCACCAAGTGATGCTGCCTATCAACCTGAAGGTCAAAGGTCACTTATTGTCCACCATTCTGCTGGTTCTGATGGATCAAGAGTTGGTTCTGTTGGACCTGGTGTCAGTTCTGTTGGACCAGGTGTTGAATCTGTTGGATCAGGTGTCGGTTCTGTTGGATCAGGAGTTGGCTGGTTTCACCTGACATTTGATCTGAATCATGTTAGAATCTGAGTTTATTCTGACCTTCAGGAGGTGCTGTTTGGTTCTGCTGAAGGAAACCGGGTCGAGCCTGGCTCTGTGTTAAATTCAGAGAAACAGCTAGCTTTTAAGGATCCACAAGTGTTCCTGATTAGGAGACAATATTCAGATGAAGCTGCACTCAAAACATTAAGAAGCTTTCAGCTGAGGTGAGGAAACAATCAGAACCAGATGAAATGTTCTGATCAAACCCACTTCTCTCTCTTTACAATGAAAGCTTTTCAGGTTCCTGCGGGACAAAGTGTTGCACATTTAAAGAATCCATCGTTGGTTATTCAGTCTGCTGCTGAACGCTGATTAAGCTGCGAGGCTTCGGCTCGCTCGTCTGTCGGCGCTGAGCCTCTCCCACAGATTGGACCTGCTCTCCTCAGAACTCTAACAAATTGAGCTGGCTGTGAAATGAAGAGTAATCTGGTGCACACCAGGTGATTTCCTCTGTCAGGTTCAAGGAACTGAGAGGAAGGAGGCGCCAGTTTTTCTTGTTCAGTTTGTTAACTAACGGCTTGTTAACTAACAGATTATTAACTAACTGCTTGTTAACTAATGGCTTGTTAACTAATGGCTTGTTAACTAATGGCTTGTTAACTAACAGATTATTAACTAACTGCTTGTTACCTAATAGATTGTTAACTAACGGTTTGTTAACTAACGGCTTGTTAACTAACGGTTTGTTAACTAACGGCTTGTTAACTAATGGTTTGTTAACTAACGGTTTGTTAACTAAGGGCTTGTTAACTAATGGCTTGTTAACTAAAAGATTATTAACTAACGGCTTGTTAACTAACGGCTTGTTAACTAACAGATTATTAACTAACTGCTTGTTACCTAATAGATTGTTAACTAATGGCTTGTTAACTAATGGTTTGTTAACTAAGGACTTGTTAACTAACAGATTATTAACTAACTGCTTGTTACCTAATAGATTGTTAACTAATGGCTTGTTAACTAATGGTTTGTTAACTAAGGGCTTGTTAACTAACAGATTATTAACTAACTGCTTGTTAACTAATGGTTTGTTAACTAACGGTTTGTTAACTAACAGATTATTAACTAACTGCTTGTTACCTAATAGATTGTTAACTAATGGCTTGTTAACTAACGGTTTGTTAACTAAGGGCTTGTTAACTAACAGATTATTAACTAACTGCTTGTTGACTAACAGATTGTTAACTAATGGCTTGTTAACTAACGGTTTGTCAACTAAGGGCTTGTTAACTAATGGATTGTTAACTAACGGCTTGTTAACTAATGGCTTGTTAACTAACGGTTTGTTAACTAACAGATTATTAACTAACTGCTTGTTACCTAATAGATTGTTAACTAATGGCTTGTTAACTAATGGTTTGTCAACTAAGGGCTTGTTAACTAATGGCTTGTTAACTAACAGATTATTAACTAACTGCTTGTTAACTAACAGATTGTTAACTAACGGTTTGTTAACTAATGGCTTGTTAACTAACGGCTTGTTAACTAACAGATTATTAACTAACGGCTTGTTACCTAATAGATTGTTAACTAATGGCTTGTTAACTAACGGTTTGTTAACTAAGGGCTTGTTAAATAACGGCTTGTAAACTAACAGATTATTAACTAACTGCTTGTTAACTAACAGACTGTTAACTAACAGTTTGTTAACTAATGGCTTATTAACTAACGGCTTGTTAACTAATGGCTTGTTAACTAACGGTTTGTTAACTAACGGTTTGTTAACTAACGGCTTGTCAACTAATGGCTTGTTAACTAATGGCTTGTTAACTAACAGTTTGTTAACTAACGGCTTGTTAACTAACAGATTGTTAACAAACAGCTTGTTAACTAACGGCTTGTTAACTAACATATTGTTAACTAATGGCTTGTTAACTAACAGATTGTTAACTAACTGCTTGTTACCTAATAGATTGTTAACTAATGGCTTGTTAACTAACAGTTTGTTAACTAATGGCTTGTTAACTAACAGATTATTAACTAACTGTTAACTGTCAGATTATTAACTAACTGCTTGTTAACTAACAGATTGTTAACTAATGGCTTGTTAACTAATGGCTTGTTAACTAACAACTTGTTAACTAACTGCTTGTTAACTAACAGTTTGTTAACTAACGGCTTGTTAACTACGGCTTGTTAACTAACAGATTGTTAACTAAAGGCTTGTTAACTGTTTGTTAACTAATGGCTTATTAACTAACAGATTGTTAACTAACTGCTTGTTACCTAATAGATTGTTAACTAATGATTTGTTAACTAACAGATTGTTAACTAACTGCTTTTTACCTAATAGATTGTTAACTAATGGCTTGTTAACTAACGGTTTGTTAACTAAGGGCTTGTTAACTAACGGCTTGTTAACTAAAAGATTATTAAGTAACTGCTTGTTAACTAACAGATTATTAACTAACTGCTTGTTAACTAACAGATTGTTAGCTAATGGCTTGTTAACTAATGGTTTGTTAACTAAGGGCTTGTTAACTAACTACTTGTTAACTAACTGCTTGTTAACTAACAGATTGTTAACTAACTACTTGTTACCTAATAGATCATTAACTAATGACTTGTTAACTAACAGATTGTTAACTAACTGCTTGTTTCCTAATAGATTGTTAACTAATGGCTTGTTAACTAACGGTTTGTTAACTAAGGGCTTGTTAATTAACTGCTTGTTAACTAACAGATTATTAACTAACTGCTTGTTAACTAACAGATTGTTAACTAATGGCTTGTTAACTAAGTGCTTGTTAACTAACGACTTGTTATCTAACTGCTTGTTAACCAACAGTTTATTAACTAATGACTTGTTAACTAACTGCTTGTTATCCAACAGTTTATTAACTAACGGCTTGTTAACTATGGCTTGTTAACTAAGAGATTGTTAACTAACGGTTTGTTAACTAAGGGCTTGTTAATTAACGGCTTGTTAACTAAAAGATTATTAACTAACTGCTTGTTAACTAACAGATTGTTAACTAATGGCTTGTTAACTAATGGTTTGTTAACTAAGGGCTTGTTAACTAAAAGATTATTAACTAACGGCTTGTTAACTAACGGCTTGTTAACTAATGGCTTGTTAACTAATGGTTTGTTAACTAAGGGCTTGTTAACTAACGACTTGTTAACTAACAGATTGTTAACTAATGGCTTGTTAACTAATGGTTTGTTAACTAAGGGCTTGTTAACTAACGACTTGTTAACTGACTGCTTGTTAACTAATGGCTTGTTAACTAATGGTTTGTTAACTAAGGGCTTGTTAACTAACGACTTGTTAACTGACTGCTTGTTAACTAATGGCTTGTTAACTAACGGCTTGTTAACTAACAGATAGTTAACTAACAGATTGTTAACTAACTGCTTGTTAACTAATGTCTTGTTAACTAATGGCTTGTTAACTAACGGCTTGTTAACTAACAGATTGTTAACTAACGGCTTGTTAACTAACGGCTTGTTAACTAACAGCTTGTTAACTAACGGCTTGTTAACTAATGGCTTGTTAACTAACGGCTTGTTAACTAACGACTTGTTAACTAACAGATTGTTAACTAACGGCTTGTTAACTAACGGCTTGTTAATTAATGGCTTGTTAACTAATGGCTTGTTAACTAACAGATTGTTAACTAACAGATTATTAACTAAGGGCTTGTTAACTAACGGCTTGTTAACTAACAGATTATTAACTAACGGCTTGTTAACTAACAGATTGTTAACTAACGGCTTGTTAACTAACTGCTTGCTAACTAACAGATTGTTAACTAACGGCTTGTTAACTATGGCTTGTTAACTAACAGATTGTTAACTAATGGCTTGTTAACTAACGGCTTGTTAACTAATGGCTTGTTAACTAATGGTTTGTTAACTAACAGTTTGTTAACTAACGGCTTGTTAACTAACAGATTGTTAACTAACTGCTTGTTAACTAACAGCTCATTAACCAACTGCTTGGTAACTAGCAGCTCATTAACTAACTGCTTGGTAACTAACAGCTCATTAACTAACTGCTTGTTAACTAACAGCTCATTAACCAACTGCTTGGTAACTAGCTGCTCATTAATTTTGGTAACTAACCACTTGTTAACTGTTTGTTAGCTTGTTAACTTACTGCTCATTTTTTCATTTAACTTTCTTAAAGGATCCTCATTACTCTCGGCTGCAGCAGAGACTGTTCTTCCTGGTGGGTCCATGTTACAAACTTTACAAACAGTCATAATTAAAGACTTTAAAATTCTAATAAAATTAAAAAGCAGAAACACAAACAGACAACAGCAACATTTTACGTGTCACAAAAGCATGTCACAAACCAGTTAACCAACAGGTTAACCCGTGGTTTGGAGAACAGCATGTAAAACATTAACAAATCCTGGCTTTATTTTACAAAATAAGAGCTGTAAGATTTATTAGTAGGAAGTGCTGTGGTCACCCAACAAATACAATATTTCAGCTGTTGAAGGCGTTAACATTAACATTCGATTGATTATAATATTTTACAAGTTATAAATCTCATGAAAGATAAATATTCAGTTGAAATTTGTTGAGAGAAAGTCATCCTAACCTGAAGGGAAGAGAGATTTTAATAAAAACCTTTTGGAACCAGAGCGCTGCTGGACTTCTGTGGAATCATCTTATAAATACCTCTAAAACTATCCCTGTGTTTAAAAAGAAGAGGAACTTATCAGGGAAACGTGCTTCGGTTTGAAGTAGTTAGTGGAACTAACATATGGAGATATCTAATGTTTTATTTTTTACATTTGGAGATCAGTCATGTTTGAGTTTCTTGAAGTTATTATTAGTTTTTTATTGGTGCAGATTGATATTGTTCTTCACTCTGCTCCCTTTTTATTCAGGGCGTGATTTACTTTTAATTTTACTGTTTAAAGATTATTTGGTTTGTTGAATGAAAGAAATGAATAAAATAAAACACTAAAAATAAATGAGAAGTTATTATCTGTTTAGGTTCTAAACTATTTCCAAGCAGCTAAACGTGGCTGAAGTGAGCTGCAGCTGCTGCTCTGATCAGAGCTGACTGACAGGAAGGCAGCAGCTGAAAACCTGGAAATCAGCAAATAACAACAAAATAAAGAAAAGAGCCGAAGATCTGCAGCTTCTGTCTGTTCCACTCAGCAGAGACCCGAACGTTTCAGGTTCTGTCCTCAGCTGAATCCATCTTCACAAGATTGAGTCTTATTTAAAGGGAAATAAAAGAAACTCACCTTAAGGTTAATGTTTGCATCATTTCAGCTCCATCCTGAACTGCTTCCATGAGCTGAGAAAAGAAAAGTCTCCTGTGATTCTCAGAGGCTGTGTGCAGCAGCAGAGCCATGCTTTAACTGTTCTCTACACACACACACACACACACACACACACACACACACACACACACACACACACACACACACACACACA